CGGGGCCCCCCTTGCCTGCCAGTCCCGCCTCTGGGGATCAATTATGGCTAAAAAAACCACAAAATCTAACAATCCTAGTAGGCCGTATTCGTCTCTGAGACAGTATTGAACGACTGGTGCTGCTTTCCTTCTGAAATGTGAAATCAAGGCTTGTCGACCTCAGGTATTAAAGAGCCACAAGAAATGATCTATTTGCTATGTTCCTATCAATGCATACTATTTATATCTATCTCATTAGATTGAAGGGGAGATAATTATCTAAATCTCAACATATGGGAAGGACTGTAATTTGATATTTTTAATATTCCTTGCCTGGTTACACTGAAGCTCCTGGGAATATGTTCTGACTGATATCTTTATTAGGCATTTTTTTACAGCAGTAATTATACAAACAAAACATAAAATGCAACTTACACATGGGTCTGCTCTATTTTAGTGCATGCCATTCTGCTGTAAGACAACTGTATTTTTGTCCTCAAAGTATAACCAAGGAAAAAATACTAAGCACCTATACAATTAATATTTTTTTCTTGAAATAGTTTATTTACATTCAATGGAGCATGTTGAAAAATAACAGACATATGAGAAAATACAGTATTTACATGGCCAAGAAGCCATTGTTAAGAAATAGTCTGATGGAGTACAAAACTTCTAGGTACCCAGTCCTGCCAGCAGGAACTTTCAGGCTTATCAGTTTCTTGTCTAAAACAACAACCACCACTTTAAAGAGCATGTGTGTATCTGACTCTAAATTAATACATTTCAGATGCACTAACTATAAGTTATAGTCTGAGGTCTCAATCTTGCAAATGGTTATGCATATACATAAGTTAAGCACACAAATAGTTCTGTTGACTTCAATGGCTCTACTTATGTGCCTGACGTGTTTGAAGTAGGCCCTAAAATGTAAATGAGAAAGGGATAATGATTAGCAGTTTCTGTATTTTTATTTTTAAAGTATGATGCCTTTTCCCATTACATCAATTTAAAACAACTTTAATAAGACACTATCATGCTCAAAGTGATTTTTTAAATTAATTTATTTAATATCACTTTAAATTATTAAAAGTAAAATAATTTTGAAAATTTTGCTTTGAAAATCAGTTTTACTTGCTACTATTTAGAAACTGGTCGTGTGTTCTGATCCACATGGACAGATTCCTGAGTCATGAAGATCTCTACTGATTTCAATGGGTCTAGGCATCAGTGGAATGCAGGGCCGGGATAGAAACTTGTCAACAACTGGTAATTTACTGCAATAGCTATCCCAGAATAACTAAACTATTCTAAACCAAGCTATTTCTAGACAAACTTGAAGAAAGCATTCTTATTCTAGAACTAGCCAATTAACCCGTCATAAGATGGGATTTTCAGGTCTCCCCCTCCCCCCCTCCTCCTCCTCCATCATCATCATCGGAGATGCACGCTCATCCAGGCCCTGCCCCGTGGGCGTGTCCGTCCCCCCCCCGGCCCCCCCCTTCGCCTCCCTCTGTGGCGCTTGGCTGACTTCTGCACCGCTCAGCCAGGCTGCCACGCGGGAGCAAGCGGCGCAAACGGCCTCTCCCTCTCTCTTCTCCTTCTACTGCCTCACCCTCTCTCTCTTAGCTCTCG